CCATAGTACTTTTATGGCGGCATTTAGTTACCATGGTTACGCATCTTTAGACATCTTACCTTGGTATCTTAAATCATTTGTAGCTCTGTCATTATTTGGTCTATAGAAATGATATTGGTACCAAATTAAACCTCGTTAAATTTCCAATAAATTTCTGATATTCAATTATGCAAATTATCTAATTTGCATAAATTATGACGTCATCAATCTATTTTTGGTTCAGAATTTCCAACTATAGCAACGTATCTATTAGAACTGAGGCCGTATGACAAAATTTCTGAAAGGTTTTGTCCTTTATTCTATTAGTAGAAGGTATAAGCAACATAAAAGTGAAAACAGATTCAAAATTGAATCAGTATTACGAAAGTTATGTAACTTTCGAGGCAGCTATTGTGAATGTCATTATTTGACAATAATATACATACATCTTACCTTGGAGTCTTGAATCAATGTAGCTTCGCCATTATTTGGTCTATAGAGATGATATTGGTATCTGATTAAACCTTATTAAATTTACTATATGGTTACAATATTCAGTTATGCAAATTAGCTAATTTGCATTAATTGTGACGTCATCAATCCATTTTTGGTTCAGAATATCCTAGTATAGCAACATATCTATTAGAACTGAGGCCGTATGACAGAATGTGTGCATAGTTTTGTCCCTTATTTGATGAGTGGAAGATATAAGCAACATTAAAGAGACAACAAATCTTCAAAATTGGATCAGAATTAACAAAATTATCCAGCTTTGGAGGCAGCTACTGTGAACGTCATTGTTTGACAATTATAAAAAGAATATTAAATTAACAAAAAAAGTAACAACCATAGTTGTTTCAATCTTATTGAGTAAAAATGTGCATGTATTGAACTGAACTAATAAGTATGTGGAAAGGTTACATGTATTTTGACTATCATTCACAGGGGTCAACACGGTTATCTCGACCCTGTATATTAAAGATCCAATTTTATAATTTACCATGCACTTTCAATGATTCATATAAATAGTATACATATAGTCTGATTTTCATCATATTCTTCATATTCTTGATTCTTAAAGTATCTGAAGTATAAAGCATGATTAGAAGTGAAGATGATTCATCATATGGCTTATGTAATATTTCTAACATTTCAGATGCTATGGTAATATCACTTGATAATGAGGTTTTTACATTTCACGTTCTTAATGAGTTAAAAGAAAGTTATTCTCCCTTTGCTTTAGAGATAAATAGTCGCATGGATTTGTTTAGAAAATTTATAACTTAATTTAACCCCCCCCCCCCCCTGAAAGCCCCCATATTTGAAGATTTTGGTGAAACCTGGCAAAATACATTAATTATTAGGTTCCAGAAGCCCCCAGAAGCTATATGATGGCCCCCAGTGGCCCCAAGAATCTATACAGGGGCCCCAAGTGGCCCCCAGAAGCTAAACTGTGCTCCCCAGAAGCTATATGTTGGCCCCCAGAAGCTGAATAGTGGCCCACAGGAGCTATACGGTGGCTCCCAGAAGCTATACAGGAAACCCTGTGGCCCCCAGGAGCTATACGGTGGCGCCCAGAAGCTATACAGGGGCCCCCAGTGGCCCCAAAAAGCTATACGGTGGCCCCCAGAAACTACATGGGGGCCCCAGAAGCTAAACAAGAGCCCCCAGAAACTATACTATGGCTCCCAGAAGCTATATGGTGGCCCCCAGTGGCCCTCGGAAGCTATATGATGGCCTCCAGAAGCTAATTAGTGGCCCCTAGGAGCTATACGGTGGCTCCCAGAAGCTATACAGGGGACCCCAGTGGCCCCAAGAAGCTAAACGATGGCCCCCAGAAGCTATACAGGAGCCCCAAAAAGCTACATGATGGCCCCAAGAATCTATATGATGGACCCCAATGGCTCCCAGAAGATGTGAAGGGCCCCCAGTAGCCCCTAGAAGCTATACGGTGGCCCCCAGTGGCCCTCATAGGCTATATGATGGCCCCCAGAAGCTAAATAGTGACCCTCAGGAGCTACATGGTGGTTCCCAGAAGCTACACAATTGCCCCCAGAATCTATATGATGGCCCCCAATGGCTCTCAGAAGCTATAAAGGGCCCCCCAGTAGCCCCTAGAAGCTATACGGTGGCCCTCAGTGGCCCCGAAAGCTATATAGTGGCCCCCAGAAGCTATACAGGGGCCCCCAGTGGCTCCAAGAAGCTATAAGATGGCCCCCAGAAGCTATGCAAGGGCCCGTAGAAACTATACGGTAGCCCCCATAAGCTATACGATGGCCTCCAGAAGCTATACAGTGTCCCCCAATGGGCCACCATATAGCTTTGGGGGCCACCGTATTGCTTCTAGGGGCTACTGGGGGCCCTGTCTAGCTTCTGGGAGCCATTAGGGGCCATCATATAGATTCTGGGGGCCATCGTGTAGCTTCTGGGGGCTGCTGTATAGCTTCTGGAGGCCATCGTATAGCTTCTTGGGGCCACTGGGGTTCCCTGTATAGCTTCTGGGTGCCATCATATAGCTCCTGGGGGCCACTAATTAGCTTCTGGGGGTCATCATTTAGCTTCTGAGGGCCACTGGGGGCCACCATATAGCTTCTGGAGACCACAGTATAGTTTCTGTGGGCCCTTGTATAGCTTATGGGGGCCATCATATACCTTCTGGGGGCCACTTGGGGCCCCTGTATAGATTCTTGGGGCCACTGGGGGCCATCATATAGCTTCTGGGGGCTTCTGGAACCTAATAATTAATGTATTTTGCCAGGTTTCACCAAAATCTTCAAATATGGGGGCTGTCAGGAGTGGGTTAAATTAAGTTATAATTTTTTTAAACAAATTCATGCGACTATTTATCTCTAAAGCAAAGGGAGAATAACTTTCTTTTAACTCATTAAGAACGTGAAATGTAAAAACCTCATTATCAAGTGATATTACCATAGCATCTGAAATGTTAGAAATATTACATAAGCCATATGATGAATCATCTTCACTTCTAATCATGCTTTATACATCAGATACTTTAAGAATCAAGAATATGATGAAAATCAGACTATATGTATACTATTTATATGAATCATTGAAAGTGCATGGTAAATTATAAAATTGGATCTTTAATATACAGGGTCGAGATAACCGTTTTGACCCCTGTGAATGATAGTGAAAATACATGTAACCTTTCCACATACGTATTAGTTCAGTTCAATACATGCACATTTTTACTCAATAAGATTGAAACAACTATGGTTGTTACTTTTTTTGTTAATTTAATATTCTTTTTATAATTGTCAAACAATGACGTTCACAGAAGCTGCCTCCAAAGCTGGATAATTTTGTTAATTCTGATCCAATTTTGAAGATTTGTTGTCTCTTTAATGTTGCTTATATCTTCCACTCATCAAATAAGGGACAAAACTATGCACACATTCTGTCATACGGCCTCAGTTCTAATAGATATGTTGCTATACTAGGATATTCTGAACCAAAAATGGATTGATGACGTCACAATTAATGCAAATTAGCTAATTTGCATAACTAAATATTGTAACCATATAGTAAATTATATAAGGTTTAATCAGATACCAATATCATCTCTATAGACCAAATAATGGCGAAGCTACATTGATCCAAGACTCCAAGGTAAGACGTATGTATATTATTGTCAAATAATGACATTCACGATAGCTGCCTCGAAAGTTACATAACTTTCGTAATACTGATTCAATTTTGAATCTGTTTTCACTTTTATGTTGCTTATACCTTCTACTAATAGAATAAAGGACAAAACCTTTCAGAAATTTTGTCATACGGCCTCAGTTCTAATAGATACGTTGCTATAGTTGGAAATTCTGAACCAAAAATAGATTGATGACGTCATAATTTATGCAAATTAGATAATTTGCATAATTGAATATCAGAAATTATTGGAAATTTAACGAGGTTTAATTTGGTACCAATATCATTTCTATAGACCAAATAATGACAGAGCTACAAATGATTTAAGATACCAAGGTAAGATGTCTCAAGATGCGTAACCATGGTAACTAAATGCCGCCATAAAAGTACTATGGGACATTAGTTGGCAATGTTAACAAATGAATTCATTAAATAGACACCCTAGGGATTACAAAAATGTATGTAACTTATTCACACCTTATGGGTGCATGGGAACCCCTTGTTCCTACTATACTATTAATTGACTGTGATTTGATTCTTATAACAAATATGGACTTTTCATCTTTATATCGAGATAAGCTTTTGGAAACCACCCACCCTCTTAAAGTAGAGCAAGCAAATCGGTTCTTATATAACAAGTAAGATGGGGATGCCAAATCTGTGTTTGAAAGCAAAGTCCATGTGTTGCTTAGATTGCTATTTTTGATTTCATAGGGAAAAATAACAGACTCTTACCGTTTTGTGACCTTTTACATCATGTACGCGTGCGTCATTGCACAGTTCTTGCTCAATATGACAGCTGATGCATCCGCAAATCCCCAGATCAAAGCATGTCGAACTCAAAAACGACAAAATAAGGATGCAGTTGTGGATGTTAAAGAATGTCTTGGAGAAAGTGACAAATCCGATAAGGTACCACGAGATCATATTATGTTTATATAATGTGGCTCAATAATTAAAATAGAATGAATGTGCTAAGGTCAGTTGTGCTCAACTCTTGGATGTTTCCAGTCATAAGACAAAAAATTTAGTATCCGGAGAACATTTGATAGTAACATCGTGATTTCAATTTATTGCCATTTGATATAGATTGTCATTTTTCTAGATACCCTGCCCAGAACTTGAAGCGCCGTTTGTATCAAGACTGACCTATTGGTGGATAACAGGGTAAGACATTGGAATATATACCTGATGTCGGATTCATTACATCGATGAGGTTAATCAAAGTCCGTCCGTTTTTATGTATTACGAGTTATTTATGAATAAACTTAAGGCACACGTCATGTTAGGCGTCTAAGAAAATGCTTCCTCATTACTTCACCTATGTATTTAATTCACAGGCTTATCATTCGTGGATACAAAAAATCTTTGGAACTCAAAGACCTATGGGAACTCAACTTCGCCGATACATCTGCATCTATATGGGCCGTATTTGGAAAGCACTGGGGTACAGAAATGGAAAGATACCGCAAGGCAACAAGGTTAGTGACGGGGACATGTTCAATCGTGTCGGAATAATTGATGTTCAATTTACTTTTTTTATTTTGGATTGCATCCTTGCACAACTCTCAATTATAACTTTTGTGTTTTTCAGTTTGGTCAAGAATTACAAATATCCCGTCCAGAAGCAAATTACGGCTCCACCTAAAGACAAACAACAGGCAGATGCCAAGGAAGAAGATATTCCAAGTGCACAAAATGATGAACCGAGCGAAGACATCATGAAAGCTTTTAATACTGGCTCCCTTTTGAAGGCAATCACTAAGACATTTGGTGCAGAGTACATGTTAGCTGGATTCTTTAAGCTTTTATCCGATGCCTCTGGGTTTCTCAGCCCACAGATTTTAAAGTGAGTTAAATTGCCACCGAACTCCTCACCATGAAATTGAACCTCAGTTCTCTACAATTCAGAGTTTTTAGAACTGGAACAAGAGTCAAAAGTTTACTAAATTTATATTTTTAATTAGCTTCCAAATTGACAATTGTTTCCCTTTTCAGTTTATTGATTGGCTTTGTCAACGGTGGCGACCCATTGATATGGAAGGGCTACATTTACGCTGTGTCGCTTTTTGCGATAGCTGTGTTCAAATCAATCATTCTTCAACAGTATTGGCATGGCTGTTTTTCCATTGGACTTAAAGTTAGGTCGGCTATTGTCGCTGCTGTATATAGAAAGGTCCGATTTTTATTTTGAACTCATACTCTTTACAGTAGTACATGACTTTGAGTGCACTATAATTGCATATTTGGCCTACCAGTTCACAGGCCGACTCATACATTTAGTTACATTATGTATGTTTAACTTTACAACAGGCTCTTACATTAAACAATACTGCCAAGAAAAGTTCCACGGTCGGTGAAATTGTCAATCTTATGGCCGTCGACTCGCAGAAGCTTCTAGAAGCGCCGCCGTATATACACATGATCTGGTCAGCACCTATCACTATTGCCTTTGCATTGTACTTCCTTTGGCAACAGCTTGGTCCATCGGTCCTTGCTGGATTAGGCGTTACCGTAATAATGATTCCCATCAATGCAGTCCTTGCTGGGAAGATAAGGGATTTCCAAGTAAGTGCAATCTTCAGTTAAACAATTTAGAAATCCCACAGTTTTTATAGTGTAGAAATAATATACATTTATTGTAAGAATAATACGGTTTACAGGATTTGTGTTTCTCACATGCACCTCCGGGGTGATGACTGTAATTATTGATGTTCAAGAACATATTATGTATATATTGTTTAAGCGTTAAATTAGTTCAGTAAATAGCACCACGTGCCCATTCTCTCTTCTGAATTACAGGATACACACATAATTAACAGTTCATACACATGCCGTTTATTATACGTGTTTGCAGATTCGCCAAATGAAACTGAAAGATGGACGAATTAAGCTAATGAACGAGGTCCTAAGTGGAATGAAAGTTCTCAAACTGTACGCGTGGGAAGGTGCCTTCCAAGAAAAGATATTGGAGATAAGAAATCAAGAAATCGCAGTATTGAGGGCAAGTCAGCTCTTCCAAGCTGTGAGCTCTTTGTCCTGGTTTTGTGCTCCATTCCTGGTGCGTATGTCTTCTCAACCATCTGTGAAGCTGTAGCTAAATATTGGCAATCACTCTCTGTCAGTCTCATTGTCTCAAATGTGTCATACATCAATACTTTACAGTTGATTGATCCTCATACTTAATATATTTTGCGAAGATGTATTTTTATTTTTAGCTTGAAAAAGACGTTGATGTAAACATTAATATACTGAATATACTTTGATGTATGCTGTATATTTCATTTCGATTTTTTATTTAGGTTGCACTGGCTTCATTCGCTACTTACGTTTCTGTGTCAGAAACGAATATCCTGACTGCACAAAGGGCATTCGTGTCATTGTCGTTGTTCAACATCATGAACGCTCCTCTCGCGCAGATCCCAGCCGTTATTACATATTTGGTCCAGGTATGCATAATCTGGCACACTTCGCCCGAAGAGTTCCAAGTGGAACGACATATGTATTAGTGTACATATTATAAGAATCGATATGTTACAATGTAATATGCTTATACTTTAAATGTCAACGTTATTACTTTTTAGCTTGTTCAACTGAAGAGATTTTAAAACAATTTTCTTTTATTTAAACATATTTTCATTTGGTTTACCCGTCATGGCAAACATATATTAGATTTGTTATTGTGTAATATTCCGAGTATTCATGGCATTTAATTTAATTCCATGGTGAGATACTGTTATGACTACTGATGTATTAAAGTAAAGCTGTGTCAATCTTTTAGTGCGCTGTGTCTATTGGGCGTCTTAGTCGGTTTTTAAAGAACCCTGAACTCGACGTTGAAAATGTGAAACTTGAGACGAATCAGGGTAAGTCGATTTCATATTATTTATCTCATTTTTTTTCATTGCACATATAAAAAGTATAACATTTCAATCATTAACTTATTTTTATTTATTTATTATTCTATTTAAAGAAAATGCCATGTCTATCCGTGATGGTACCTTCTCTTGGGATAAAGATGACGCACCTGTACTACACGAGTGAGTATTTCCAATATAACACTGACCCCTACACGTTAGATTTATAAAAACTACCTGTAGTATCCACGAGCGGATCGAAAATCTAACGGGAGGTGGCAGAATTCAAGTCACAAAAACTGTGCCCCCAAAATCCAAATTATGAAAACTTATGGCCCACTTTTTGATATTTTGACTTAACATTAAAAAAGAATCTTCAATGAGGGAAAGTAATGGTCAAGAAGACCAACTTATTCGGGGCTAGAATAAATTTCTACCCCCCCCCCCCTCTATATCCGCCAGTGGTATTAGAGTAACTTGGCTCATGAATCGATCTAGTTTTTTATGTATTTAGACAAAATAAAAGTTCATCGTTATTTTTACATTAAAAAGCAATGGTCGTTGAGTATTTTACTCGAATAGAAAACTATTTTTTGTAGTTCAATTCATGTCATTTTAATGGTTGTTTCTCTACATTTATATTGGCGTTTTTCCATTCAGTGTGAATATGCGAATACCCGAGGGTAAGTTGGTTGCAGTGGTGGGGATGGTTGGCTGTGGCAAGTCATCTTTAATATCAGCATTGCTCGGGGACATGGAAGTGATGAAAGGAAGCATTTCATTAAGAGTAAGTAAAACAGCAAATGACGTCAAATTGTTATTAATATAAACATCATAATAGTTAAGAACTCTAAGTTCTATTGGTCTCTAAAAATGGCATCATTTAACCCATCGTTACAACAACCAAGAAATTATTCACTTTGCGAAGTTGTTGTTAAAGTCCCCCTGGTAAGCAACGGCATTTAGTACCATGATCGTCAAGATCGTTATTGCGACTTAACATCTAAATCAGAACATTGTGATGAGTATGACTCGTGTTTCTACCATGGTAACACTTTTCTTGCATTTACAATGACAGGATTAGCTCTGTGAATCATATAAAATGAAATGCTTTCGAAGTTTATATTATATATACTGTACAGTTTAATGTCGTATTATATTTTAGGGTTCAGTGGCATATGTTCCACAGCAAGCTTGGATTCAGTTTAATACCCTAAAGAACAACATCATATTTGGTGCACCACTTGATGACGAAAAATATGAAGACATTATAAAAGAAACAACATTGAAAACTGATCTGGAGATTCTACAAGGTGGAGATCAGACTGAAATAGGCGAAAAAGTGAGAAACATTAGATGCTTATAATTCTGGTGTATCGATTGATATAACATTTATATAATGTTTTTTTAATATGTTCTCTCAATTCCTTATGTATTTCTTCCAAATGCATTTACATCTCTTCTTGTATTAGGGCATCAACTTGAGTGGGGGTCAGAAGCAGAGAGTGAGTCTCGCCAGGGCAGTGTATCAAGACAAGGACATCTATCTGTTGGACGATCCTCTCAGCGCAGTTGATGCACATGTTGGCAAACATATTTTTGACAATGTTATAGGTCCAGCTGGAATCCTTAGAAATAAGGTAACAAAAACGAATTATATTTGTTAACTTCTCAATTATCGTTAATAACCGTTACGTTCAAATTATGTTTGGAAACAAACTTGTTATTTAAGAAGTGGTCTTCAGGAAGACCACTCTTAATTGCTATAAATAGAAGGGCTTATGTTCGCCATTACCATGGGGCCCTTTGCATTATATTTAAGCTTCGCAAACTTAGTTACTTGAATAATATTTATTTATCTGCAGACGAGAGTTTTGGTTACAAATGGTATAAACTTCTTACCCAAATGTGATGAAATCATTGTGTTGAACAACGGGACGATTTCTGAGACAGGGACCTTCGCCCAACTACTTGAAAACGCTGGGGCATTCTCAGAATATATCGCAACGTATCTGAATGATGATGAACGTGAAAATGAAATTGACGAAGATGACGACAGTGAGTGGACTTTGAATTGTTGCTGTTTAGTTACTATTGTATTAATATTTCATTTGTATGAAGAAATATGTATATGGCCAATTATATACACAATGACTCATCTTAGTTCCTCATTGTATGTATGTATAATTTATTTGCCTCTTAATAACAAGAGAGTTACATTCACAATTTTATACAAACTAATTAAAAAGTAAAAGCATCGGACAAAGGTTAATAAGGAGTAGGTAATGTACAGTAATTATACATTTTTTAACACCAGTTGTCTCTGCTTATGCATTATGTACACATTCTGTGATATGGATAATAGTTTCTCATTGTCACAACATATTATACCGAGTATTACCTTAAGAATAAAGTTGTCATCTTGAACATTCAGATTGGTCATTGCAATGTTGATAATCATGGGTTCCCTGACTCCAGAAGGAGCCGGACACTTTAATAGTACAATAACGTCATTTCTAAGGGCGATATAGTGAAATTCACAATATCGCTTGCAGAAATGACGTTATTAGTATTATTACCACCGTTAACGACCAGGACTGAAACAGCAAGAAAATCTTACGCATTGAACGATATCTAATTTCCCGGGGAAAATTACCGGTCCAGAATATATTCTAGACCGGTCCATATGGACCACCACTATGACGTCACACATTTCTCAGGTCGATATAGTAAAATAATCGCCTTCTAAACTAGCACTAAAACCCCGAGAACTGGCCCGGCAAGGTGGTAATAATAAGAAATGTTTCACAGTTTCATTTTCATTGAGCTCACAGAGCACACATGTCTTACATACAGATGTTTCACCCTCGCGACGTCTACTGTTTAAATCATATGTTTCAATTAATAATTTGATCATAATCTTAGTACAGTACATTAAATTGGGGTTATTTTTTAGCAATAATCCACCAAACATTTGGCTTAAATTCCAACAAAGAACCTGCCATCATATTTAAACCTTTGTACATCAATGTCGATAGGACAGTGGTACGAGTATTAATCTTTGACTCTCTTATAAATAGTATATCTAAAATTCAGTTTACTTGGATATTTAGCATTATAAACCATATTTCATTCACAATGTCAGTAAGGTTATACTTAAGAACCGTTTCTCACATGTAATAAATGGGGGACTTCGGGTGTTTACAGGTTACATTTGTGTACATCATTCGAATTAGGCACTCTAAACATATAATTTTATATTTACAATTCATGGGCAAAGATAACAGCATAAATAAGCCTATCGCAGTCGATCTTCGCTTGTACTGGCATCTAGCCAAGTAGTCTGGTTGCTACGGGATCTGGTGTATTCTTAGGTAATAACTGTATTCGCTTGACAATCTCTCTATGCGCGCATTCCATCAGTTTGATGTCATCTTCTGACTATGGTATTACTACACTCTTTTTTTATGATTGCATCTTCCTTACACAAAACATTATACATAATATACATACAGATCAAATCCATATACATTGAATATACGATAACATTATTACACATTTATATTTAACAATTATACGTTTTTACGCTTTTGGGACCATCTCCATTTAGAGTATCAAATTTGACATAATCTAAAACGGTCCCATTTGAAAATACAATACATGCAATACGATGACCTTTCAATCGTATTGGGCTGGCAATATTTTAATAAAAAAGGGTATAAAGTAAAACAAAAATGTCAATGCTGTTGGTTTAATCTATATATAACCCATCTCCAAGTCTCGCCGAAACTTTCCAGTGTACCATTTAAGTTTGCAATATTTCGTTCGTCATTGATTTTATATTTTGTGATTACTTTTATTTGTATAAATGTTATTTTAGTATTAACGAGTCTTGATTTATGTATTAGGGTATTTATATACAATATGCAAAAATTAATTGCTTTTGAAGTGTGGTCGTGCTTTTGAAGTGTGTTCGTATTTAATTTCCCGACAATTAGGTCTTTAATTGTGAGATCAATATTGAAGAATCTATTGAAGTCATCCCAAATCTTGGCAGAGTTTGGGCACTCTATGAAAAAGTGTATCGTATCATCTTTTTTATCGTTTTTACAAAAGTCGCATAAATTTGAATTTTTTATTTCATTTCTAGTTAAAAATTGATTATTTGGTGTTATGTTTAAAAGAAGTTTGTAGTGAAGACATTGCATTCTAGGTTCTCAAAAAAAGGTAAAAGGTAATGTAAAAATATGTTTCCAATCTTCTCCTGTTAAGTTGAATTTTGAATTTAGATATTTTTCCCGTTGGGTTCTTTAAATAAATTATCTACGAGAATCCAATATATGGTTTTAGTTTTTATAGCTTTGATGTTTATTGTCGTGTTTTTGATTTGGAGCTCTTCGTCTTTAAGTGCCCCGTTGCTTTGATTGTTTTTAATATGTTGTTTCCATGGGTATGGGATTGCATGAATTAAGCCATAGAAAGTAACAAAAGGTGTATTAATATTATATTTTAAAGATAAATCTTCGAAACCTAAGAATTCATTATTGTTAACGAGAAATTTTATTTGAAGGATTCCATTACTCATTACTACACTCTTAACATTATTTCAAATCATATATTTATAAGTGTCATTCCTCCAATTATCTACTCGAAAATCGCCAAATTCAAATTCTACTTTTCAGTGATACAAATTAAACGAGATCTGAAACGTCTCGTTTCCGTCCAGTCAGCATTATCAGACAAGTCCGATAAAGATGATGCTGGGAGTTTAGCCGGCAGCATAGCAAGTGGCAAGAGAGGGAGCATGAGAAAGAGATCGAGGTAATGCTTGACAATTTATTTTGTACCTAATAGCTTGAATCTGCATTTTAAAGTATTGTATTGTATTGTATATAATTTGTAAGTGTTAACTCGATCATCAATATTACAGTCCAAGAAAGCGCACAATCTCGACCAAGTCAGATAAACTAGCCAACGAAGATGACGTCGAAATTGTAAAGAAACCTGGGAAGAAGGAGAAACTTGTGGAAGATGAAATGGCTCAAGAGGGAGGAGTGAGTATTTTAAAGCTATATTATACACTGTAAAAGCTTCATGCAAAAGGGTCATTCCCTTTGTTAAACTAACAATATTAGGTGGTGTATTTTAGACTAACATAATATGAAATATGGCAGTTCGACTAATAACACGTCGACTATTTGCATTAGCAATTTTGTATTACTATACCCTTCACGTTTCCAAATAATGCAGTTTAACCAATCACAATATGCAAATATATACCATCTATCTACCTCACTTGTAAACTTGCATTTCGTTGTTTTAGGTTCGGGCAATTGTTTTCCTTAAATACTTCAAAGCATGTGGTGTCGGTTTCTGTATACTAACAGTGCTTGCTACCATACTGTATATGGGGTGTCAAGTTGGTACTAACATATGGCTTAACATATGGAGTAGCGATAAACCCCTTCAGAAGAATGGTACCTTAGTCCAAGATAAACCACTTACTAACTTACGACTTGGCATATATGGGACATTTGGTGCGGGATCGGTTTTGACAGTCTTGCTCCAATCTATTTCTATTGCGCTTGCATCCGTGTCTGCCTCGAGTAAGTTAAAGCATGTGAATATTCAGTATTTGTGAAAAAATTAATACACATTAAGTAAATTGAGCCACCAACAGCATTGTTACTTGTTGTTCAGGTTAACGATATAGGTTCACATACTTGCAACGTGACATAAAACACACGATTTGTTAGAGAAATCACTTTGAAGCATAACATATATCTTACTCAAACAATATTCAATAATTTTGTTTTTAATCCAGATATTTTACACTCCGATCTCCTCCATAACGTGGTCAGGGCTCCAATGTCTTTCTTCGACACAACTCCTTTTGGCAGAATCATCAACCGTTTCGCCAAGGACGTCGACACACTGGACATCAACATCCCTATTACCATCAAGATTGCCCTGTTCACTTTAAGCTCTGTCATAATGACAGTTGTTGTCATCATATATACAACGCCTCTCTTCGTGGTAGTCATTATACCACTAGCCGTCTTCTATTATTTTGTACAAGTAAGTGAATAACTTTATAAATCTTATCTAACTAAGTATCACTTATTAACCTTATCATGGATATGCATAAGACATGATTATAACTTAAAATACCCAAAAAGTGTGTGTGTAGTGTTAGTGATATATCATATGTCAAACATATTCCCGGATATGCAGCGGTTTGAAAATTGAATGTTTAATCGCAATTTAGATTGCTGATGCCTAAACGTATCTCTATCCAATATTATGTTTTCTCCATACGATTTAACCTTATCACTTTCAGAGGTTCTACGTTGCCACCTCACGCCAACTCAAGCGTTTAGAATCCATATCAAGGTCGCCCATCTATTCCCACTTTAGTGAGACGGTAGTTGGTGCCAGTTCAATAAGAGCATATGGGAAGCAGGATGAATTTGTAAACAAATCCGATGTGTTAGTTAATCAAAACCAGCAAGCCTATTATCCGAATATTGTTTCAAATAGGTAACCCTCATACTGTTAATCCATGCCAGTTGTCTTCATAAATATCACATCTCTGATATTCTTTAGACTTCCATTTCAAATATGTCATTTTGCGGTCACATAGGTGTAAATGTAAAATAGTTTCATAGGTTCCTAATGTAACTTTTACTTTTCTTTAGATGGCTTGGAATTCTGCTTGAATTTATTGGAAACATAATTGTTCTATTTGCCGGCTTGTTTGCTGTAATTGGGAGGGATACCTTGAGTGGAGGACAGATTGGATTATCTGTGTCATATTCGCTGCAGGTAAGCAACACCTAGTTTGATGTATTTAGTTGTATTTAATTAATAAATGTTAATTTATGCAAGCCTTAAATCAATACCTGTATAAGGCTGTAGCTGCGCAATGGTTATCTTTGCAATCTTTGTAATGTACAGTTAAGGCCACATAGGTATCTATGTATAGTCCACTTCAAAATCATTTTGAACTTATTTTTTTATTGTTGGCTTCTTGTTGACTTATATTTAAACCTTGACGTTTTGCAGGTGACGCAATCTTTGAATTTCCTTGTTAGGATGCTTACTGATTTGGAAACCCATATTGTATCAGTCGAGCGAATTAAAGAATATACAGATATCGAAAATGAGGTAAGAAAACAACAATTATGCCACGGTTTTGTTTCATAAGAGCATTTACTTATATTCACAATTAATCTAATCATTGCAAATGTTTATTACTTTTTAATATTCATTTGGCCATGTGCAAATTATACATGTAGTTAACAAATAGTACGTACATGAAATAATGCAAAACAAAATCTTACTATACGCCATTACTATTCAAGGCTGTATGGGAGATAGAGAATAGCAAACCTCCACCCGCGTGGCCCCAGGAGGGGGCGATAGCTGTCGATAATTATAGTGTCAGGTATAGGGAAGGACTAGACTTGGTTTTGAAAGATGTATCATTCAATGTGCAGCCGGGTGAAAAGGTAAATGGACCTATTACATTAAGGTGTAACAGTTTTTGCTATATCAAGTATCGAGAGTATATTTTGCGAACGTTACTTTTTATCATTTGTTTTCGTTGCTACTTTGCATGTTCTTACATTCACGATTGGATTTCTATTTTAACCCCAGGTTGGTATTGTTGGAAGAACAGGAGCAGGGAAATCATCATTGACTCTAGCATTATTCCGTATACTAGAACCTGCAAATGGCTCCATTATCATTGATGGTAAAGACATCACCAAGATGGGCCTACATAGTCTGCGATCAAAACTTACAATTATTCCACAGGTAACTATCACATGTCTTGTATTCATTCCATAATATTATGTCCAGATATAATTGTAAGCAAAGCAAAATCATCTAAAATAGTATGTTGGAAGGATGCGTAATAACGAGTTGCATCACATGTGTTGTAAAAACTGGTCTTTTGGATGCTCGCTGATACATTAAAACTGCGTTTGTCATTTTGCTAGTTGAACTTTGGACAATTTCCATTTTTCATTTAGGAACCTGTTCTATTCTCTGGTTCTCTAAGGATGAATTTAGATCCAACTGATATAAGAACTGATGATGAACTGTGGGGTGCATTGGAGAATGCTCATTTGAAAGATTACGTCGCTGGTCTTCCGGAGAAGCTCATGCATCCCTGCTCTGAAGGTGGTGAGAATCTAAGGTATGAAGAAGGCGAACTCTTGTAAAGTCTCGTTGACTAGTAGTATCTGGTATTCAATTTTGAATGCTTTGTAAATAAATGTAAGAAATCATACATCCCATAAGCAAACGCCTGTGTAAAACGTAATGTTTACATTAATCCCCATGCCCTGTTATGCAAAGGTAATCTGACAAAATCCGCAATAAATCAACGCTTTAATATATTCTGTGTTACTTTTATAAATACATGATTACATACTTAGGAGGTCCTCTATTTCAGTGTTGGTCAACGGCAGCTAGTATGTCTGGCAAGGGCGTTGTTGAGAAAGACAAAGATATTAATACTCGATGAAGCAACGGCAGCAGTTGACCTCGAAACTGACGATCTCATTCAGGTTGCGAAAGATTTATTTTAAATTCATCGATCGCAGTTATAATTATTTCGTAAATGTGTGTAGTGACATTCTCCAAATTAATACAATATTGTATGGACAAGATTGTGAAAATGTGTGATTTCATTTAACGTTTATATTAAATTACATTTTTGATATTGATGTTTTGTTCTTATTTGTAGAATACAATAAGGACGGAGTTTAAGGATTCGACAGTGGTTACCATAGCACATAGGTTGAATACAATCATTGATTATGACAGGTAAAACACATCACAACTTAAACTTGTAAATCAAATGGATACAGGCATGTGGAAAGGGTATGACGCACCTTCCACTATGCTGCGTGACAAAACATTGAACCTATATAATGGCAAACGACGCTAATTTAGTGTCCCAGTAAAATTATGAATATCATACTAGACTTAATTTATCACCTCCATTATTTTTATATCATACAAATTATGTTGACCCTAAAATGTTTGTTTTAATTAAATAAACAAATTACCAAAATGTGCATCTTATCTAACTTGTATGGTCGATCGTAATTTTATCTCATTTCAGGATACTTGTTTTGGATGCAGGCATGCGGAAAGAGTATGAAACGCCCACCGCATTGTTGAATGACAAAACAACTATATTTTATGGAATGGCAAAGGACGCTGGTTTGGTGTCCTAGTAACATTATAAAATTATAAAATAATATTTTAATTCATGGAAATTCAAATCATTATCGAAACAGGGTGACTGAAGTCATTACCAGCATTTTATGTCATGGTACATTTTGTCTGGGTATCAGTATAAGATAACATAATATATATTTTCCCAATTGGAACACAATTGAAATAAATATATTGAAATAGTGGAATATAGGTTATTCATCTGAAGGGTTGTATGTTTATTGAACATTTTTCTTGATTTCAAATGTAATCTATTTACAGGCAAACTATGTACAGTACGTCTATGGGTAATATCGCCAAAGCATACTTTCAAAAACAACAACAAATTGTTTCGTTTTGTTGCCATCAGTTTCACTAACGTCATTGGGATGGACGATATCCTAATGTATTCATCATATGTATTTTGTCTCGTATAGCAACCAATATACACATACTAACATAGCCAAAAACTATAGTTCTGAAAAATCAACAAAAATGCATTGTTTTGTTGCCATCAGTTTCATGAACGTCATTGGCATAAACAATATGATTTATTCATTATATATATTTGTCTCATTTGTCTGTACAGTAGGCTTCATTATTGCATGTTAAACATAAATTATTTACAGTCCTTTATATTGTTTTGTAAACATACAAAAATATAGAGTCAATGACGATGATGGCATTGGGTGCGTTGGTATCAATGTCAGTTTGCCAAATGAAAGCATTTGTTGACTGAAAGTGCACATATATTCAATCTGGACTATATATGCGAATTGATACATCTCCTTTATCTTTACACATTAGGCCAATTGATGACCCTTATAAATATACATCGAATATGACTGGAATACAATAAGTTAATAATGATAACAGCAGTTTATCTGCAATGGTTGCGTTACGAAAAAAATTCATATCAAATTTCTTGAACACAAATAAAAGCTATGGTTATATCAATAAAGAAAGTATGATAATTGACACACGAACTCTGCATAACAAGGACTGTGTCAGTGAATGCGTGTCCTCTAATGTATATATATCCCCAATGTTATGAAATCACACATTGGTGAATAAGTTGTAGATTATCACTGCTATCGATACGCATGCCAGGGAACTTCCAAATCTGGTTGAACCTATAAAATATACAATAGTAATAGCTTTATTTGAATGACAACCGATCAAATGAGTATCAAAACATTTGTGTCCCGATGACATGTCGTTTAGTATCAATTAACAATGAAGACTATTGCTACTGGATAAGTACTGCTGCCCGTCATCAAGCATGCACAATAGGCCAACATTCACGTACAGGGTGATAATCAAGGGGAGAAATATCAGACAGAAGGACATTGTGGCATCAATAATTTTATCAATACTCACCGCTGTCTTCAACTTTCCTCTCTCCTACTTCAGCAATTACTTTCCGTTTATCATTCGATAATACGTCGATTTGTTTATCAGTAATTGACCGGGCCTGTTCAAATGTAAACCACTCCAGCTGGGACTTTGAAAACGCCTGTAAATATAGCACCTGTAAAGTCGTATCTTCAAGATAAATATAATACATTGTACTTTATAAGAAGTTTAACGTTAATATAAGAATAAAGTAGTACAATTACACTACTTTGGAAATCATCCCTTCATCATTATACGAAGATGTAATCGGCATTATTTTGATCTCTAATTGTAACATTCTGTTAAGATACCTTTCAAGGAAATTATGAACACATTGGAGAAAAATTAAACTGTGCACATGTGATCAAAGATCACTAGCTAAAATACTTACTGCGAATTGGGTGGGAGGGACCTGTTTGATAACGTCGGGGCTTATTTCAGCCAGATGTTCCTTTGTCAGATCAGACAGTCTATCCTTTGGAAGTCCACCTATGAAACAATATAAAATTATCGATTATCATGTAAATATGAACATTATGCGGATATTTTAGAAGTATTACGTATTGGTAAATGTTATGCTAAAGCTATTACTGAGACAGCTTAAACTATATGAACTATTTCGAATGTATATAATTAACAAAATATAAAAATAAAAATAAAAAAGTGTACAACAATCAGATTTTCTAAACGTTAGCTCATCTATGGACTTTGAGTTTACATATTTGAATGAGCAACATGAGCTATCAGTTAGTGAAATAAAACTAAACCATATATCCAATTGTCAAGGATTACCTATGAGGTGTCCTAGGTCTGTCACAGCATCATTTGGCCATACCGTGACAGAACTCTGATATTCCGTTGTGGTCAGTATCGTCTTAGTGTATTCTATCTTCTGTTGAGCGGAGCAGGATTCAAGACTTCCAAGTTCGAAGACCGCATTACTACAAAAAAAGTAAATATCTGAAATAGGGTACTACCACTTTATGAAATTCTTTACTTTTTAGTTGATCGCTTAATTCGGATTTAAGAGTAGACTGGTAGCAGAGAGATTTTTAGGTATAAAAAAGTATATGAACTATAAACATAAAGCCCATAAGATGATACTAGTATTCTCTGGATCATACCAAGGCGTATATATTATCATACAAAAAACTCAGAATTATTCATATTTATACGGTTTGTATTTGTGAACTTACATCACACTTTCAGCATCAATCTCCATAATCTGATCAGTATCAAGACCGCATGCTAGATCACCGATCAATCGAAGTTCAGTAAACGTAATTGAGCTGGCATCATCTCCTTTAACATCAGTTATCCATTTCTGTGCCGCAGAATATAGCTAGAAGAGAATAACAAGCCTTGAGTCAAAGAGAAGATTTTAATACCAGTTCACATTATCAAAATAGCATGTATTCATTATTATCCAGAAGAATGTTTGACATTAAAACTAAAACGCATTTTTAGAATCAAAATAAAACCCTTATACTCTATTAACGTATTTTTTAATGTGATATGTGACGTCATAATAAATAACAATTAAACCCTTATAGTACATGAACTAATTATTATGTTTTGATAAGGTATCTCATTTGTTCTGGATTTCCAATAACTTCCGTCACCAATATCGTACGCCTATTTTGTGCTGTTAATTGTTAGTTTCTCTATTTGCTCCCTTGGAAGACAAGCCACTAGTCCACCAAAACGCTCGATTTTGGTAGCATCCCATAAATCTGCGCTCCCCCATACCTAATATATCATAAATTGTGATATGAGTTAAGAATAGTAAAATACTTCTTACAAAATACGTGAAGTTAAACTTAGATCATGATCACTAATATTATTATCCCAACGAACGAAGTTCGGTAGGGATATAGTGAAGCCCTCAGTCCACTCATACAATACCCCATGTTTTCTCCGTCCACTTTTCGAAAAAAAACTTTTTGCAATATTTCAATTATTTTGTTTTAAAATGAAGTTTTAACGATCAGATACTATAGAATATATCCCCACGCACCTGTAAACGGCAATTTGATCAGCAGCAATGATTTAAGCGCAAGTTATTACCTTTCAATTTTTTTTGACTGGGGTATCAGGCGCGTGGCTGAAAAACATTGTTCCTAACATCGCTGGAAATAGCCGTATACACCGATGGAAAGCGTTTTTGAATCCCTATTTTATGGTTCTGATCACATATAAAAACAATGACGTATAGTATACGGTTTTCTCTGTCCACCGAAAAAATGGACCCTATCTTGTTACAACATTCGGACCTATCTCTCATGAGATTAGAAACTTGAGGGAAATTATTTTTCATATCTTTCTCGCTCGATTCTACCGCTCAAACTTCGTCAGATTTGAGAATATAGTCTAAAGAACATCTCCTTGACAGGAATTTATCCACATTTAAATATATTTTGAGAAAATTGATGTAATCCAGGTTGATTTTTACGCTCCTTTTACCCCATATTACGAGCGTTTTTCGTAAAACGATAATTGTTTAGATTAAAGTCTCGAAACATTATATTATACCTGTATAAATACATTAAATAAATCACGGCTAATAAAATACAAACTTCTGATGTACTTTGCCAGAACACAGTACGTTAATGAATACGCTAGATCAAGAAATGCTTGCCCGTCTACGCGTATTTTACCCCAAGTTACGAGCGTTTTTCATCGTTTATTTATTTTTTGATTTTTTTGTTGTATAATCATATTATCGAAAAATAACCCCAATATACATTTGTAAATATGTTTATACAATAAAGACACGCATTTAAGAAAAATAAGACATAAGATGCTGAATTGATGAAAGCGCTAGGCCCATTTTAAGATTACGAATGGTGCCCGTCCGCTGATTTTGAACACTCTTTTGTATTATTTAATTTAATCTATTAGAAGTAAATTATTCATAATTGCACTTTGGTTTACGATTTAATTGACGAGTTTTAAACGTATCGGTTGTAAATACGTATCCAAAAACCTACTGTTTCCTTACCTTGTATATCATTTTGCACAGCAAAACAACCTCAGTTTTTAGAAGAAATCAAATGTCACATTTAATTTCCCTATTAATAATTGGTACGTTATCTATGTAAACCTGAACTTAAACTCTCTAATTAAACTCTCTACAATTGGTTGTATAATCGGCTCACAAATACATGGTCTTGTTATCCAGATAACGCTTAAAATTTCAACTAAATCTGATAACAGGTATTGGAGTTATCATCCTGACAAAAAGCCTTGAATGGTTTGGTGAACTTTGAGATCCACTATGTCTAATTTCTAAACAAAATTGTTTTAGTAAATGATAGAAAAGTGTCTCAACAACAGTGGACAAAACTCAAAACATTACAAAAGATATAATATGTTTTCAGCAAACAGTCTGAAGACCACCCATTAAGTTTACTGGTCTTCAAACTGTTAGAAAACATATTAGATATATTACATGAATGCAGATATTAGCATATCACAATATCATGTCATTAAATGTTAAGAAAAGGTACATATTAGAGTATAATACGTTGGCACCGTTTTCACCATGTTTCCTACAAACCAGCAAGCGTTACGAATTTAAGCTACAATTGAGAAACTGCATCCCGGGAATTCTTTGTTTGTTTCGTTCAGAGGGATGGCGTAATCGAGCCAGGAGTTAAAGTTGAGAAATCTGGTAAGTTCAATTTCAAATTCATTTTGAATCATTTTGGAGATGTTGTGATATTATAAATGCAATCGTTGCAGTGGCGTAGCGTGGGTATTTTGTGAGTGTACGCCGCGAGTAAGCGAAATAGACGTGCTTTGAGGGGGGTTCGGTGGAGGTCCCCCAAGAAAAAAAAGAAAGTGAAAAAGAAAATGAGATAGCATTTGAAGCCTAGGGCGTTTGAAATACGAAATTCCGACTATTATGGACGAATAGAATGTAAATTATTAGCCATTTTTGAAGTGTGGGGCAAATCAATATAAAAAATCAACTGTTTTCTAAATTTTGAGAGTACGCCATGGCGTTTTATGCGTATATGACGCTACGCCATTGCGTTGTGCTCTTACTTATAAGATATTATTGTGAATTAATTAATGACTGATCTAACAAGGAAATTTTGTATGTAAATGCTGGTTTTGTAACCTCTGTTTTGTCATGGGCTTCAGTCTAACTTAGGCTAGTTGAAACGAAATCCCATGGTTCGAACTCCTATGCAGTGTCTCGGTATAGACACTGCGGCGGGCAGATTATGAAATCCCCAAAATTTGGGGAAGATAGTCCCCCTTTTTGTCACAGATGTACTTGTTTTTCACTCAACTTATAAAATATATGTTCTTTTATGTTCACCAATAATTATTTTGTCAAAATATTCCAAAATCAATGAAATATAAGAGGAAATCCCCGCGGAAGGAATTCTGAGTAAAAGTTGTGTTGATAAAATTTACCACACGTGTTGTTTATTAGTTAATACGCGCAATTCAACCAATGAAATTGTCTAAATTTTACAATCACGCGACCTGAGCATGGGACTAGAAGGGGTCAACCCAGTTGTCCGAAACCCAGTTCTCCGAAACCCAGTTTTCCGAAACCCAGTTGTCCGAAACCCAGTTCTCCGAAAATTAGAGGATCTTATTTAATTTGAAAAATACATTTTTTAAACGAATCTCGTTGTCGCAACCTCTGCAAACATAGGAGACAGGTTACCTGAAAAGGAAGATAGATATCATTATCTCTTATCTAAACAAGGACTGTCACTGAGGCAAGTCTACCCTGGCTGAAATCAGCTCTGAAATAACAATTACTGCATGTCAAGCCGTCATTCAATGCTGATTTTGTAGAAAACAGATCTGTCCATCCTTCTACATGTGAGTTTTTCCCATAAAGATGCTTGCTTAAGTAGAAATTCGTCAAATTATACCCCTAGAATATCAAAGTTCAACTGTACATCAATCGCGTGAGGAAAAAAAACAAATCCATTCTTCACCTTCACAAACAAACCCTTCTTCTTCTTGGAAAAGTTGTCCCTCATTTGACTAACAGCAAATGTGTATGTTTATGCAGCAATATATGTTAGTTTAGAAAATGATTAATTACAATCTTACCTGTACTTCACAGAAACATCCTAAGTATGAAAATATTTCACTAAAAATACATGCTTCCATTTTGTCACATGTTCATAATAATTTTACAATTTCTTAAGAATCTCACTAATGAAATTACAATTTTATTAACGAGATCTTATTAAGAGTTCATATCGCATAATAACCCTTATTATCGGATTCCAGCTGTTAGTAGTATTAATTTGAATAAATTAAAACTGAGTAGTACAGCTGAGTGGACATGTATATGCACCGATAACTAGGTCTATTGCTTAGATGCCAACTTAATATTCTGAAGCCATTGAAAAACTCACCTTACTATGAGTAAACTTCAGTGAATTCTTTGACAAAGAAAACAACTACATCCACTGCTTGTGAGATGTCCAATTTATCCCTAAATCTTAGTGGGATGCAAAATAAAATAAAGTCCTTGTGTAGTATAGGATATAAACCTTTCACTGTTTGTGAGATTTAAACTTTAAAAAGTTTCATTACAACTTTGAGAGTGTAAAAATCCAGATACATAGTATTTGACTTGATGAAGATTGTTGAATGTTAATTCTATCCTTCATGACTCAGTTGTCTGTGGTTATGTTCTGAAATAACACAAAACTGTGTTTTAGTGACAATTAACGACTGGGTGGGCGAGGGGGGAATATATGAACTCTTAATAAGATCTCGTTAATAAAATTGTAATTTCATTAGCGAGATTCTTAAGAAATTGTAAAATTTCTATTACACTCACCTTATTAAGAGTTCATATCGCATGTTTAAAGTAAAATAACCTCAGAACAACTGATCTAAATCCTTTAATTTCCTTTATCAATTTATCAGATTGTAAAATTGTTAAGCATTCAGTTAATTTGCATTTCCCATGACTTGGTTTGTAGATATATCAAATGTTCAAGTTTATGGTACTGTTACTGCATAGCTGGTTAAATATGTCTTTCAAATGTACTTAAATGTATTTATTAAATATCTATCTATTATTATTCTATAAAATTGAAACCTTTATGTATTGTTATAGAAACTGCTAATGTGTATGTATATGAGATGTTTTACTGGATATGTACATGCATGGCATCGCATGACATTTGACAAGGATAATTTAAACTTCCTTCTTATGATTCCCTTCTACTACTAGTAGTTTGTTTCAGATGTTTCTGGTATTTTCTAAATGCTAGTACAACATCATTAAATAGATTCTCATGAAAGAACTTGGAACCCCAATTTTATGTGCTGACATTCTGTCTTTGACAACG